ACAAAATCACAATGGAACAAATGTTCGGAAAACATTTTCAATAGTCCTGTCCCCTAGTAGCAGTATTTCCTACATGCGTGATGGGACAAATTTGTCCCACCTTTTTCATTTCAACCATTTTTAATTAATATATATATATGAATTCAAATAATACTTTTTATCTGCAAGAAAAAAAATATTCATTCTAATACCAAAAGTTGTCCAAATGATTTAAATTGCATAAGAAATTAAAACAAAAAATGCTTCAAAATTAGACCTGCAAAGAATTTTTTCCTACATGATTTCTATGAATTACTAGTGCCACCATCTGTTATATATTTAGGAAACTGAAAGGTATTATTGTATGTATTTTAAACAGAATTTTGCAGCTGTCATCTTGGAGATAAAAACTGATAAAAAAAGCCGTCCCGCCGCCCATCAAAGGGTTAAAGGCTTTATGGACCTCTTTTTTTTACCTTCTTATTTTAAAATTTTGATTCCAATGCTGTGTCCAAGAAATCAAACAGTAGCACAAAAAAAAAAAAAAAAAAAAAAAAAAAAAAGGAGTATGTGTGTATTGTAGAAAAAAAGAAATAGGTGGCACTGGATGCATTATTAAAATAGACACAAAAGTACTCAAATAAAACATCTCTCTCCAAAGTTGGCAACAAATTTATAATTTTTGGTGGTGGTGGGGTGTGATAATTAGAAATTACCTAAAAAAATAAATGGATGAAATGCTCCTTTTCAGGAAGGTTATTGTTGACGAACTTAGCAGCATGAATGCCAGAGTGATGACTAGGTTCTGTCAAAATTTCTTCTCTCAGTTTCATTTGTTTCTTTGCTTTGCCTTATGTGCTATACTGCCAAGCTTAAGAAAGAGCTTTCAATGATAGGGAAAATGAACAATTTTTCAAAAGAATTTGGAATGGACACTTTTATTGATACATAAGCACCAGAAAAACCACTTAGTGCTCAAAAATTTTATTTTGTAGCATAGCACAAACATACAATTAAGAGGAAGTGTAATGCCAATGAAACAACAAAACATTTACTAGTGTTTACAGCTGCATGTCATGTCATAAGTAGTTCATGAATGATTTGAATTGAATGACATTTTGGAAAGTTAAAAGTCCATCTGCAAAAAGATATTTTGAAAGTGATAAATTCCCTATAAATCTATTTTAAGAAGAACATATTGACATACTGCTTACATTGGTGCAGTTTAGGATATCCAAAGTGTGATTTTGGACAGCAATTCATTTTCATGAATGAATGCTGTGGTAAAATTCATATGTAACATTGCAACTAAAACCTTACACCCTAAAATATCAGATATATTCCTCCTGATAGCAGATGTAGAAAGAAACCAACAGTTTCGGTATATCTCAAGTTTCATCAATAGAATTTATTTCGTCTTAATAGAAGTAAACATGACTATGCCATTCTTTTCCTGAATGATGAGATGTATAAAAAAGGTGAGGCATTTACAGGGTCGTTTCTCAAAATACTGTATCTAAAATGCACACCCTGTACACCTTGCCGAAAAGTTTCATGAATTGTTCACAGACAATTGCAAACTTATTTCTAATGTAAAAAGGATGTTTTTAGAATTACCTGCTAGAGCAAAAGTCTTTAGAGAGATTGCAGTTGATATATTGTTGCCTTTAAATCCAGTTTTGAAAAAGTGAGGAATATGGTAGCGTGAGCTTGCTATTTTGGCGAGTAGTAGCGTTTTTAAGAGGTGGAGGTAGGGTGATTGCACAGAATGCCAAATACTGAAGTTTTTTTATAGATTTCTTTGTGAAATGTTCTATCTTTATTCAGTTATTTCTGGTTTCAGTGAAGGGTGATTAACAGATTTTTACTTTCTGTATGCTTTCGTGGGCAGAAAATACAGTAAGGTTGGCCCTAATGACTAGTATTTTGTCAAAACCACAGATGCTGTCAATATTTTTTATGTTCTTCGATTAAAATGCTTAGGCGTTATTTAAAAAGGCATCTCTAAATAAGAGTCTCACATTTATAGCTTCATATTTCTCTCAAATACAAGCTTCCCTGGAGAAACAGAATCTAAATTTAGTAGCCTCTTTGTATGCATTTGATGTGATGAAAAATGTGTCTCAATATTTACGTTGAAAAAGGTGTAGGTTCAAGCATTGTGAAAACATGTTTGATATCGTTACGAATCCTGTGAATCTCTATGTTTTAAATATGCACCTGTCCCATCAGCAGATGATTGTTTTCCTGCCTCAGGGGCATTTTAACAGATACAACTTGTCAATGGAGAATCTGAAGAAAATGCCTGTGATATTGACACAAGTGAACAATGTGTTACATGGTGATATTCCTTTCTTATGTATCAAGGTAGGGAATCTTTTTTTTTTTTTTTTTTTTTTGCTGTTTGTTTAGGTAATTCTTGACCATGGTATTTATTATTCATTAGCATATTTTCTCTGGAATTCATGAAAAATACTAATATTTTAATGATATGTAGGAATATGTTTTTATGTACTTTGTTTATCGATATTAAGAAAACTTTATCTTTATCAGTGCTAGTTATAGTACATGAAGTGCGTTAATGAATTCACAACTTAACACAGTTAACATATTCATTTTTCCCAAACTATATTTTAAAGACATTTTTCTTTATTATTTACCTACCGCTTTAGCATTTTAGCACAACTGCCTGTTGAACATTTAGTCATTTGAATTTAGATTACACACACACACCAGTTTGTTAATTTTGGTGACTCTGGGAGTGCATAAAACTTCTCAGTCATCTCACAGAGCCAATAAAATGATAATAATCTTTATTTTACTGAAATCATTTATTGGATGTAACACCTAACATCTTCCGAAAGGTAAATATTAAAAAAAAAAATATCATTCGAAATATATTATTTCATTATAATGTTACTCATAAAAACTTATCTGCTTAATATTATAGGTAACATTATAACAACAGAAGTAAAAAAACACTACTTCATTAACCATTTAAAAATGTATATTTTGAGGGCACACGATATTTAAGAGCTGCATGGAATAATACGGCTCTGAGAAAGACGACAACCACGTTAGCTTTGGTTCAACCCCCCTCCCAACTTATTTACATCTTCTCAAACGGAAATGACGTCTGGCGAGCAGCCGAGAGTGGGGAGCTCTGGGATAGATGAGAACCCAATGTCTAGGCGCTTGTGTATCTGAGGGGCTAGACGCTTGTCATCGCGCATCAAGTAACCTCTGGCAACCCCTACGAGTTCGACTGGTAGGGAAGTGTTTCAAATGAATACGAAAAATCATTCGTTTTCAAAAGTGATCGCTAAATGCTGGATAGAACGATCGCTGTTTGAGCGATCATCCCTGTTTCAATTGAATGAGGCCTTTAATGTCTAGTGGAAGTGCACCAACAAGAACTGGACGAGCAGTTGTTGTAGTACGAAACACTTTAGTTATGTGTAGTAATGCTATTCATTGAATTTGTGGAAACATATTTGTTGCTTTTACCATGCTGCTATAATGTTATCATACAGGACAACCACATAACATTAATCTTTCAGTTGCTCTTAAATACAATTTTTTCTATATTTTCCTTTTAAGCCCTCATTTGTGCATCATAAGACTATTTAAGTAATTTACAACTACAAGTGTTCAATCTCGCATTTCCGAGAGGTGCAGAATCCAGTTTAATTTTTGTATCAAGAACAAATACTAGATATTTGAATGTGTCGTTATTTCGAGTAGGGTCATTCTTCCATATTAATCTTGGTTGATTTTTTACCAGTTTTGGACCCTTATGAAATGTTATCATTTTTGTTTTAGTGCTTTAAAACTAAGTTTATTATTATCACTCCATTTTTCTATATTTTCTAATGCTTTCTTTGCTTTTCTTTCTAATTCTATTCTATATCTTCTGCCAACAATGATGGTGAAGTCATTGGCATATCCTTGAAGAGTGACATCTTAAGTCTAACTTTTATGCAGCATTAGCCACAATATTCCACAAAATTGAACCTAAATTAGATACTTGAGGTGCACTTTTGTAATAATTTTTGAAGACATTCACACCATTTCTTTTGTAGATGACTTTTCTGTTATGAAGATAATTCTTCTTTAAATTCTAGAGATTTGTTCCATTGTAGAGATCTTGGAGTGTGGCAAGTAGACCTGGCTGTTAAAGATTATTAAAGGCGGACATCACATCTATAGACATTACACAAGTGTGCCATTTTAGTACAGTACTAAGTCCGAAATCTGGACCGGTCGGGACTTTGGCGATTCCAGATTGGGGATTTTTCCAGATAATAAATCATCAATTTAAATCTGGTAAGATGGCATGCAGAAATTATACAATTAAAAATATGAAATCGTAATTTATGAAATAAAGAACAATTATGATCTGAAATTATGATCTTTAAGAATTGAAAAATGAATTTTACTGATAAGTAAAAATGTAGCTTAAATATTGAACTTTTGGATAAGTTGAGAAATTTTGTAATTCGTAGTAACTTTAAATAATTATTGTGTCAGCTAAATGTCACTGTCGGCTTAGTGTGCTGTTGACTAAATGTCTTGACAGTTAAGTGCCCCATAGCTAAATGTCCTGTCGACTAAGTGTCTTTGTTGGTTAAATGTCCTGTAGGCTAAGTGTTCGTGTCGGCTAAGTGTCCTGTGGGCTAGCTGTCCTGTCGGCTAACTGGTGTTGGTTAAGTGTCCCGTCAGTTAAGTGGCACAGACCCGAAAGAGGCAATAAATTTGATTCCTATTCTGTTTTATTTACAAAAGAAAGCTTAATATTTTTTGTTTACTTTATTAAACATTTCTTTCGATGAAAGTTATTTAAGGTGCTTCCACAAAAATTTCAAAATGTTCCTTTTTCTTTTTTCTTGTGTCATATACAGTGGATTTTCCAATGCCATACTCCTCGCATAATTTTGAGAGGGATATGCTTTATCCATTTTTTGCAACATTTCCACTTTTTGTTTAATGGACATCGAAACATGGTTTCACTTTGTAGATCCTAGGCAACTCCAATGTTCAAGTTTAGTGTTTATAAAATTGCCGTAATAATAACAGTCTGCAAAAAATAATAAGCTGTATCGAACCTTCACGGAGGAGCCACATTAACATTATCTGCTGTGCGACAGAAATATTGGATCGTTAATGGCCGAGAAATTGTAAGGAAAATAATTTGGAAATGTATAAAATGTTTTAAAAATCGAACAAGCACATCCAGTCAGATAATGGGCGAACCTACCTGCTTCTCGCGTATTGCCGGATAGAACATTCTCGAATACAGGACTAGATTTGCAGGCCCCTTTTTAATTAAAGCTAGGAAAGGAAGAGGAGGAACGAGATATAAATGTTACGTTTGCCTTTACATATGCTTCACCACAAAGGCCATTCACCTAGAAGTAGTCAGTGATCTAACAACTGAAGCATTCCTAGCATCTCTGAAAAGATTTGTGTCGCATGCAGAGGAAAACCCAAGAAAATCTTTTCAGATAGGAGGAACCAACTTTGTTGGGGATGATCGAGAATTAAGAAAGATACGTAAGCTACACTTTCCTCTGAAGAAGCATTTCAAAGCTATCCTGAGCGGTGAAAATATTTCAATGGATCTTCAATCCTCCTGCTGCCCCTCACTTTGGAGGCCTTTGGGAGGCTGAGATCATGGAGCAGCCCAGTCTGCTACATTAACCCGTTGACCGCCAAAATTACAAGGAATGATTCTTTTCTCATGAAAATAATAACAAATATTAAATTAAGCATTTATAACATAAATTTACGTTGAAAATTTAAAAAAAAAAAAAAATGCTCTTACCTGTGTTGTGTTCGCGCAACAACAGCGGAATAAGACTACGGATGTTTAGTGAGTAGGATTGTACTCGTGTGATGTTTCTTTTGAGTGGAGCACAGGATTACTTTTTAGCTGTATAACGTTTTATAAATCTGCAAATCACTTTACTTGTAATTAATTTAATATTAAAATATACATTGTATTTCTTTTACAAATACAGATTATTTCAATTGAAAGATTCAAGCATGAAAAGCGTGATTACAATCATGAAGTAAAGCTACATCTATAAACAGTCTGGCTATGGGACTCTTTACAACAAAGTCTTGTTTACAACAAGTTCTTGAGATAAGAATTTACTTATGTAAGCAGATACTTTAGAGAGGCAATCAGTCACCTACAGAAATTTCATTGCGTGTTAGTAACGTGAGTTTGTGCTTTCTTAGTCTAAAACAAAAATAAAAAAAAATTGTAAATTTATGCAAAAAATATTATCCAAAAAAAAAAAAAAAAATAGAATTTAATGATTTCTTAATTGGAATTTAAAAATGGGCACAGAGAAGTTTCCAGAAATCTCACTGTGTCTGTAAAGTTTTAGGGCTAAGTTTATAAAAGAGTGAAAATCTATTCAAGACTAATAAAATCATCTGCATCACAGAAAAACATTAGATCATGTTAATGTTTCATCCCTGTATTCTGTGTGCAACTTTTCAAATGTCTTTACTGTTGTTTTTCTTGCTTTACAGCAAAACTTTGTTGCTGCTCTTTGCTCAACTTCCAAATCCATGGTAGTAAATATTGGCTAGATCAGAACATAAAATTTATTGCTTAGAAAATTTGGTCCATAAGCAAACAATGTTTTAGGAAAACCAAGCTGAGATGTCATAGTAATAAATTCTGTCAGTTATCATTTGGAAGGTTTACTGAGATTTGTTAAACAAAATAGTCCCAGAACTTTATGGCCATACCATGCATTTTTCATAATACATTACATTTACATAATAATTTTTGATTTCTTATATGAAAATAATAATTATGAAACATGAAATAGTTTTCTGCTAGTGTCACTTTACTTCTTTTTGGGCTTTAATAATACATAGCTTTTGGGCTTACATACATAGTAGTGAAGTATAATTTAAAGACCATTTAGTATGTTTTGAAAGATGTTAATGTAAATATTTTTTGAAGAATGCATGCATGCAATTAATAATAATTCAGTAATTACTAAATAATGATCTTAACTGTAAGATATTTTATTATAAAACTCAAAACCTTTTTTCTTTAAATTAAAATTTTTTTTTTGATCGGTTAAAAAAATATTTTATATAGTTTTAAAAATCTTAACCATTGGTTTGCTTTTATGTTAGTTTTTCGACCTCATTAATAATTTTTAACTAGGCCTTTCATATGTAAATTACTTATTTCTGCTTAGTTATATTGGGGTTGAATTTTGCTTCTTTTGATAGTTTTTTTTTTTTTAATTTATTCTTGGGTTTTTTCTCTCTTTAATTGACCAAATTAGTACAGTTTAGAAAATTATAGTATTATATTCCAGATTAGAATTTGCACAGATTTTATGTAATATGTGTGATTTTATTTTTCAGTTTGATTCAAATTATTTTATTCTCTTTTCTCCCTTTCTTTTCATAAATTATAAGTAATGCTTCAATATTTATACATTGCCAATGATTGAAATATATAATGCTTTCAGTAGAATCTAAATAAAGAATCCCTTCAAAATTAGCTTTCTCTTTGAAGAGGCATATTTCATTTCAAAATATCGGGGTTTTAACGAAAGTTTCCTGCCACCGTAAATAATTTCTACGCAAACAGTTCACATTGGCTTGTTAAATCATGTTTTCTCAAACGAGTTTTGGCATTTGAAAGAAAGAGACTTACTTTAGAACATTTTGTTGTAAAATTCGTAAAAAAATATCTTTTTCATTAAGTACAAGGTATCTCAAATGGAACTATCTGGTTGCCAGATTAGAACCATCATTTACTTCCAGTTCTGTTGCAAAAAGTCAGCTACAGACTGTCACCAAATCATGTGTACAGCTTTAGGTACTAATATTAAATTGTATGACTGTGGAGGTTTGGTACCAAAAGTTCAAAAACAAGGACTATGACATTCAAGAAGCAGAGGGCTCTGGCCTGTCTACTGATGTTGATGAGGAACACCTGCGAGAACTTGTAGAAGAAGATCAGTATGCAATGACTCAAGAGTTTGCTAAGGAGTCAGATGTTGGTACCATGTTCATTAGTCACACTATGCATTGCATAAACTTAACGTACAAGTTCGATCACTGGGTGCTGCATGAACTAACTCAAGCAGATAAGGACAGATGTGTTCAGATCTGCACTAATCTGCTTAAATATCAACACCAGGATAAAATTTTCGACCAGATCATCACTTGTGATGAAAAGTGGATTTACTTCAATGACGTAACCTGAAAAGGGGATTTGTCTGCACTCAGGGGGCCCGTCAGCAGTGTCGCAAAACACAGTTTGACTAACAAAAAACAAAACAAAAAAAAAAAAAAAAAATGCTTTGTATGTGGTGGGATTGCTATGGTATTATCAATAAAAAGAGTATCTGGGAAAAGGTAAAACCCTCGACAGTATGGTGTACAGCGAGATGCTAGTCTATGTTGATGTTGCTATCAAGAAAAACGTCGAACTGACTTCAGGCACAGAAAAATAATGCAAGACCACATGTGTCTGCATTCACCGGCTGGACTCTGTGTGGACTCGAATGGTATCTCTTGCCACACCCATCATATAGCCCAGACATTGCACCTTCAGACTTTTACCTTATTTAAAACCTTCAGCTATATCTTGCTGTCTTCCAAAATGAGGTTGATCTGTTTTTGGACTTGCTCTCACCAAGTTTGTAGGCCGAAGGCTTTGAAAAACTGCCAGAAAATCATAGATTTAGGAAGTGATTACTACCCCCACTAAAAGAACTGCTTTCATGCTTTTTTTTTTTTTTTTTCCCTCTAACTTTATTAAGAACGTTTTTTTTTTTTTTTTTTTTGGCTGAAAACTTTCATTACAACCAGATAAAATTCATTAGATAAACACTGATTTTTTTTGAGTAAGAAGTTTCAACAGTTAAGGAGTCCTCTCTCTTGATACCAAGATCATGTTATTTGCTTTTTAATAATTCAGCAAGTGTTTAAAATATGTATTTAGAGATTTTATCTTGGCAGTTTTTTTTCCCGAGAAAGAAAAGTCTTTTAAGCTACAGTCTATTTTACTGTCTTATTTGACTATTGAGTTATCAGTATAAAGCCTATGATCAATCTTTGCTTGCATAACTTAAGATTAAAATTCACGTGTTCTCTGAAAATTTCATGTGTTTTTCAGTTGAATGGCTGATATGGCCTGAGCAGTGTCACAGTGAAATAACCGATAAAATCAATCACTATATAAGTGTTAATATATATTAATCTGCATGTATTTGTTACTTATTGAATCATATGTTCTGGGAAACTGCTGGAATTGTGATAAACTATGTATAATATGGTAAAAGTCTTCTTTTACAATAACTATTGAAAATATTTATATAATGAATTTTATTATAAATCATTGTGGAAATATTTTAAGTTATTTCTTTTGAGAGCATTGATTATTTTTTAATTGTTCCCTAACTGCAGTTCTACCAGTTAATATCTAACCCTCTTGTGCTAAGAAAATTTTTTACAAAGTTCTGCTGTATTTTATGAATTATCATTTAGATTTCTATTAGAATGTGCAGTGATCAAACTGCATTATATTATGCAGAATATGACATAAAAATGTCCACAGTTTTGTTAACTTTGTTGGAAAATGTCATTAAATAATTTACTCAAGAATTTTTTCAGATATACTATCTTAAAAAATAAAACTGCATGTCGGGAAATTTTTTTTTTTTTTTTCCTTTCAATTATTTTATTCAAAATATAAGGGCGAAAATGTCCCCCTTTTTAGTTTGTGAAGTCTTCATTATACCAGAAAGTTGATGCATCTTGTTCTTTTATTGTATTATATTTATGTTGAAATTTATTAACATGGCATAATTTTCGTGTCTTGGAATTTGTTATGATAATTGAAAGAAATATCTTTTGTTGTAATCTATAATATGTGCACTAAATTGAATTTTTCTTCATGTTCTACTAAAGATAACTTTTAAAATAACAAGCAAGCAAAATATGTGTTTTTGCAAATAATATGAAAAGAATAAACATCTTAAGCCAATAAAGTGATGTGATGACTTTTGGGAGAAAGTGATTTGTTTTGTGTAATTTATTTAAGTATTTAATGATATAATGTGGTAATGAATATAAGGCAAAAATTAAATTATGAAAATAAAAGATAATTGGTAGTATTCATTTTAATAGCTATCTATATTACATTATACAGTATAATGTGGTAAATAATATGAGTTTAAATTATAATGATAATGTAATAATAATATTCATTTTATATAATAATTTTAATTCTAGTTTTTAAGAATGCAAAAATAAACACATTGAAATAATATATTTGGGAATATTGGGAGAGTATGCTTGCGATTATTATTTTATATTCGAATATATATGTATTGAACGGGAATATTGGAATGGAATTGCTATCTTGAATTCAACTCTGTAGCAAAAAAAAAAAAAAAAAAAAAAAAAAGAGATTTATGGGTACCTGGGGGGAGGAATCTTTTACTGTTTCAACATTAGAAAGGAATAACAATATGTTTAACATTAGAATCTAATATTTCACCATTAGAAAGAAAGTAACAATATGTTTAAACAGGCTGTAGTTCCCTCACTATAAAACTTATTGTGGTGTTAAAACAATCAAATCATTTTTATATTAACGTGCCTTTACTTTCAAGATGAGATGCTTTTTGTCTTAAAAAGTGGACTAAACTCAGTGTTAACATTTTTTAGCTTAGATATGCTTTAAATTTTGTGTGCTAGGGGACTATTAAATAAATTTTCTTATTGTAAAATCCATTTGAAAATTTAATTTATCAATTACAGTATGCCAGTAGTAAAACATTGTAAACTTCTTAGCATGCCATTTGTTCTAATTTATTATTCTTCATAAAGCAATGCTGTTTATATAAATGCTGATTTATTAAATGCGATTTTTTTTTTTTTTTTTTTTTTTTTGCATATTAGTTTTTTTCCCATTGCCGCTTAAAAGAACTACCTTTAATTTTAATACAATTTATTATACCTCATTTATTATAATACTAATTCATTTAGTATTATAATAAATGAGTGATGTATAAATATATAGTTAAATGAAATATGTATATTTAATTGCACATTAATATGTCCTTTCTTATTTTATAGCACATTAAAGTTATATAACCGGAGTTATAAATTTGAACTTTATAGTGGATATGACCATAAAAAGTGCTGGGTATTGAATGGTTCTAAATATATATTTTTCCATGACAGGTTTTTCTGAATGAAATGAAGCGTTCTGCTGTGATATGCAATAAACAAACTCTCTATCCATGTTCTGGTAACACCATGTTTATGCCTTCTGATCCTCTGTTGCTGCCAACCTCTCAAGTAGGCTATGTTGATTTGCATGTTTGGTACATATGGAATAGACAATTCAACCGAAAAGGAAATTTGAACAGACATTTAAATTTTCATACTGGTATGCGCCCATTTATTTGTGGTATATGTAGTAAAGATTTTTCTTTAAAACAGCATTTGGTAAAGCATTCATACTGCAGGATTTTGTTCCTGAATAATATACACTACATAAAGTACAAGGTGCTTATGTATTAGTGCAACCATTTTGACACAGTTTGCAGGTTTTTATAGAAAACAAACAAGAAAGGTCAACAATTGAAAAAAAATGTTTATTATATGCATACACATTTTACATTTTAATTAGGTATTTATCCCCAAAGTCAATTAATTAACCTATTAGAAATACGTCTACTTTAAGATGATGGTAAAAATTGTATAGATTAAAATTAAAAACTGTTTTTGAAAAAATTTATAAAAATTATTAAAAAATACAAATTTAAAAAATAAATCATAAAAAATGGGTGAATTTTATTTGGAATGAACTAAATTTCGAATTCTGGTAGAAGGAATCAAGTAATTTTAATTTACAAGTGGACCTTTTTTAAAATCTAGGTAGACATTTTGTACTGATCACTTAAAGAATATATTTAGAACAGTTGTTTCCTTTTGCAGTTTTGTGCAAAATAATGTATTCCTGCAGAAATTTTATGGCAGTTTCTTCAGTTGCAGGTAAATCACACAAATGCAAACTTTAAAAATGACTTAGTAAAAAGTAAAAACTATCATAATTTATTTATAAAAATCATTGGAACTTGAAATGCAACAAAAAGAACATGCATGAAAAGGATGATATTGCTTGTTAAAACTGAAGAATTAGCATATACACTGCACGAGGGAGGGGGGAACGAATTCTGTATCTCCCGTTATACTGGGCCAATTGACAAAATTTAACTTGCGTTTTTTATGTCTCGAATGCGCGGCTTAGGATATTTATTAGATTTATATGTAGTATTGTTCTACTATAGGTATTTTGACACAAAATCAGACCTTTTTCTGAAATGACATACCAGTTTTTTATTCATATTTCGATTCTACGACTCAAATTATGACTAAATATTAAATTTTGTAAAATTTGGTGCAAAATTTATGGAGAAGTTCAAAATTTTATCTTGGTGCATTTTTTTTTTCAGTTTGTGCCAAGAATAATTCACTTGGTGAACTTCTTAATTTATAGCAATCTTGTTTTATAACCATGTAGTTTCCTTTCTTTATTTTCATTGTAAATTAGCAGAAAAAAGTCATCGTTCATTATTTCAAATAATTTTAGCATAGTGCGTAAACCACATTTGGCGTTATTATCCTTTATAGCGGATATGACCATAAAAAGTGCTGGGTATTGAATGGTTCTAAATATATATTTTTCCATGACAGATTTTCTGAATGAAATGAAGCGTTCTGCTGTGATATGCAATAAACAAACTCTCTATCCATGTTCTGGTAACACCATGTTTATGCCTTCTGATCCTCTGTTGCAAGTATGCCAAATTTCAAAATGCGCCAGTGTGTAAATTCACGTATATCCAAGGAAATTTTGAATAAAAAACTTTAATTTTTTGCAGGTATACTTAGAAATACGTCTACTTTAAGATGATGGTAAAAATTGTATAGATTATAATTAAAAACTGTTTTTTGAAAAATTTATAAAAATTATTAAAAAATACAAATTTAAAAAATAAATCATAAAAAATGGGTGAATTTTATTTGGAATGAACTAAATTTCGAATTCTGGTAGAAGGAATCAAGTAATTTTAATTTTAAAAAAAAGAGATATTAGCAAATAGATATCAAGTTCCATTAGCATTGAGGACACGGCTTAAACTGTGCCGGTACTTTTTGTTCTTAACTTTTAAGATAAATTATAATTCTAGCCAGAGCCCTAAATAAGAAGGCTCTGGTACTTCTTTTATGGAATTGAACAACAATTTCATTAGATATTTGATCTCGAAAATTTTATTTTTAGCAATAAAATTATATTAAAAATTACTTATTAGATTTATTAAAATTAGAGATAAATTTTAAAAAAAGATAAAAAAAGAAAATCTTTTAAAAAAATAAAAAAAGGTTTTAGATTTTAAATTATGTCCAAAGAGCATTTTTTTAACATTTTGTGTGTTACCTCTAATTAATAAATACCCTGTTCTTTGCACTTAAACCATAAAATTCAGTTCAAGATAATTTTAAATTGAGCATATCTTTAGTATTTCCGATACACAGTCTCGCACGCTGGAGATAAAAATGTTTTTTCTGTACAATGCTGCCATTGCTCGCTTTGAAATCGTAGAGGTTTGTTAATAAAAAATTCGTTAAAGTTTTACAAAATATGAAATCGATAATGAAACAAATTTCAAATTTGGCTTTCAGATGCCTATTCGCAGTAGGATTACGTCATTCAAAATTAGATGGCTCTAGGTATCATTGTTTTATCACAATGGGAAAAACGTACATACATTTATATAGATTCTACATTATTTAATTTCTTCAAATGTAATACAGAGTGATAATATTTGGTAGCAACAGGTTGAAAAGTTAAACGGATATTCAGAGTGATTCGACGCAAAATCGCAAGACGAAAACAGTAGCCCCTCAGGGACAAAGCCCCTTTGGACTAATAATCTAATATATAATATATTTATTAGACTAAATTATATTTAAAATCACTAAATAAATAAATTTATTATTAATCACTTTAATCATTAATTATTTTAATGATTAATAATTTTATTTATTTATTTATTCTTGTTCCTCTTTCCTGAGGGTCTACAGTAGGGTTTCGGCTCTTCTAATTTTAGAATTTAAGACTTATTGAGGAGCTAAAATTTTGAGAGCTAATTTTTTAAAAACCACTTGAGCGATTTTTTACAAAACTTGGCAGTTTGGTATAATTTGAGTCATAGAATCAAAATATGGGGAAAAAAGGACGGACATGTCATCTCAGAAAAATTCCGATTTTTTGTCAGAAAACATACATTAGAAAAAGCTGTATATAAATCTAATGCATAATTCGCACTTTCGAGACATTAAAAATGCAAGTTGAATTTCGTCAATTTGCCGAGTAGAATGGGAGAACTGTCCCTATTTCCCCCCTCCCCTCCTGAACTGGAAGTTGATCTGTCAGCACTATCCTTATCTTCAGGGCAGATGTTTTTATTTTATTCAGCTTATAATTCCTTACTAAATGTAGTATTTCATCTCGATGTATTCGTCTTTGATATGATTTAAATCAAATTCCTCCTCATAATAAATATTGTGAGTACACATCAAATAGTTTTCTGGTTGCAATTTTCTAATTTCGACTATGCGTAATGTATGCTTTACATATGCGCGCGTTGAAAGAAATGTTTAATAAAGTAAACAAATAAATATTTAGCTTTTTTTTTTTTTTTTTTTTTTTTTTTTGTAAATTTTGATACCCTTTAGATCATAATGGCTCTTTATTTCATAAATTATGGTTTGATATTTTTAATTTTATTATTTCTGCATGCCATCTTACCAGATTTAAACTGATGATCTACAATCCGGAAAAATCGATAATCTGGAATCGCCGAAGTCCCGACGAGTCCGGATTAAAGACTTTTGACTGTATATATTTGTATACATAACTATTTATTATTTAATAGGAATATAAATAAATAAAATTAGACAAATCAGTCTTGAATTGATGCATTGAAAATTGTTGTTATTTAGAATATCAAGAAGAGGCACTGTATGCAATATTTAGAACAGAAAGTTCACTAGCCTTTTTTTTTTTTTGTAAATGGTACTTATGGATTGTCTGCCAAATCCTTATAAGAATCACTGAACAAAATACTTTGTTACCAAAGTAGGCAACCAAAAATTTTGCAGAAATATGTTTGTCTGGCAACTAACTAATGGTTGCCCTTATAATTCCACCATCTGTCTTGGTCATGGTGATAATGCGTATGGTTTAGAAATTCTAGGTTTGTGATTTCTATTTATGATGATTAGTGTGTCAAGTTTTCTTTACTTGTAACAAATTGTACATCATGTTAAAAATGGAATCATGTTAAGTGTTGAGAAGATGATAGTTTTGAAACAAAATTATGACGAGGAATGTAATAAGTTTATGATAAAGTTTTGAAAGACTGAAATTTGCTGTGTAAGCTAATTCTTTCAGAGAAATAAATATACATTGTATGAACCTGGGTAAGGTGCACTTAAAATTTTTATATTATTGTAGCTAAAGAAAAATGGTAAGCTCAACATATTTGTGTCCTAAAATTTTTGATATCTTTATCATAATTCATTCATATGTGCTGTTGCAGTGGGCTGTTTTTGTCTCATGAAAATATGGTAGAGACCCTTCTTTTTCACAGAGTAAAGATATTTTGTATTGTGGGTGGGTTTGTCTAAATAATTTAATGAAGAAATATGACAACATTTATCAGGTAAAATTGAGGAAAAAAGAATAAAATGCTGAAGAATTATAATTTTAAAATCCCTAGGAAAAAGAGGATTGAAATTAGTATCATTAACTAAAGTTAGGGTATTCTGGTAGATGTTCAAGGTTATAATCAAGTCTAATTCAGCCTTTAAAAAATTTTTCTTAATGTTATTTCAGTAGAACTGTAATCTAAAATGTGATTTGGAGACCAATAATAATAAGCTATAAAGGTTTCTTCCCCCCTAGGCAATTAATACTCTTTAATGTAAAATTTTATTCCTGTGTTAGTTTGGTGATATGAGTGGAAAACTATAATGCTACACCATCCGACATTGAAAATGCAACACCAAGAATGAGTGGTCCTGAAATTATGCGAATTTCTGTGCAATAAGGCAGGGCTTTAGGGGGAAAAGGCAATAATATCAGGGGAATAAGATAAGGAGCCTGCAGCATGTTCAATTTTGTGTCTTTATTTCTGCTAAACAAGGAAATGTGACGAGTTGAGGGGTGCCAATGCAGCCAGAATGACATCAATGTGCGTGGATCAACAAATCCACCGACAAGCGACGACCACTTCTTCCTCCATTCCATTGCACGTTCAAGACACCCTGGTTGCTGCCATATTGACCAGAACCATTTGCCTTTGATTGTTGGCTAGC